TACAGGCATAAAAATATTTTGAACATGGGTCGGTTTCTTATCTTTATTGGTAGATGCCAACTGAAAATCGTAGGAGAAGAAATACCCACAGTCAAAGAATAAATGCATTTGAACTCTTTTCTTTTTTCTTTTTTTTATCCTCACCCGAGGACATTTTTCCATTTTTTGTTCAGGTAGAGTGGGAGGGAGAGAGAGAGAGAAACATCGATGTGAAAGGGACACATCGAGTGGCTGCCACCCGCACAACCAACCAGGGCCGGGGACAAACTGCAACCGAGGTACGCGCCCTTAGCGGGAACCGAACCCGGGTCTCTCAGGACCGCAGGCCGACGCTCTAACCGCTGAGCCAAACCCTTTTAAATGGTTTGGTTGTGAGATATCTAGAAATTCCAAAGCCCTGAGCAGTGTGCAACAGGGATCCACTCCCAGAGAGGCAGCTTCCGCTGTGGAAGAGGGACACGCTCATGACCCTCCTGTCCCAGGACTGAGTACCTGTCTATCTTCCAGGTCTGGAAGAAATTCTCATGTGCTTCAAGCCAAACTTGATGAACTTGGGGCCTGGTATGTACTGAATGTGTGTCCCCTCAGATCCAGTGTTGAAGCCTTAACCCCTCATGTGGTGCTATTTGGAAGGGGGTTCTGTGGGAAGTAACTGGGTGTGGATGAGGTTGTGAGGTGATGCCTCCATGATGGGGTTCATGTGCTTATAAGAAGAGGAAGAGGCCAGAATTCCTTCTCTCTCTCTCTCTCTCTCTGTCTCCCCCCCCTCCTCCCCGCCCCTCCCTCCCTCTCTCTGCCATGTGAGGATACAGCCAGAAGAGGACCCGCACCAGGAACCAGGAAGCAAATCAATTGGCACCTTGATTTTGGACTTACAGCTTCCCAAACTGTGAGAAATAATTGTTTGCTGCTTAAGTGCCCCCGGCTATGATATTTTGTGGCAGCAGCCCAAGCTGACTAATACTGGGTCTAAATTGATTAAGTATTTACTGGGAAAAATTTTTTAAAAACACATGAACAACACACCAAATCAGACTTAATCTAACCCAACAAGTCAGAGGACACCGGATCCTTTGGAACCGACCGCAAGTACGGCTCCATCCTCGGGGCGGCTGGTTCTGGTCACAGGGTGAACCACTGCCCTTAGTTATCTAATAAGTAAAAACAAAGAGGAAAAGTCGGCTTCGAGAACCTCTGGGGGATAAGAAAAGACCTTGAAACAGGTCAAGTTGTTTCTTTGTGGATTATTTTTTTTGTGTGAGAAATACTTTTATTCTAAGTGTGGCTTTGGTCTGCTCTGTAAGTGAAAACCCCTTGTCAGGAGAGATGCCTGTGTGTTGCTGACAGGTGGTCAGGAGCCCAGGACCCAAAGCTTAAAAAGCTGCTTTCATGGGAGACTTAGTGAAACTCTGGGCCTGACATATGCTTCCGTGGAGCCCAGCTGACTGAGGGTGTGTGTGTGTGTGCACGTGCATGCGTGCATTCTGTTTTCACGCCCACAGGTGCTAGAGTGAGGGGACCTAGCACACTTGAGCATCCCACGAGTGTGCTGGGAGCAAGCCTTCTCACAGAGACAGCAGGAAAGTGACACGATGTCCTGGTGCAGAGGCTGAATCAAGGATAAGAAATTGACCTTGTCTCTGTTGCAAGTGAGAGATTATCATTCTCCGACGTGAGTGGGCACCTCTCGGTGGGAAGGGAAGTGTGTGCTTCCATTTTAATGTGGGTGCCTATGGAAATGTGACCTCCATGAGACTATGCAGCTTAGAATGTGCATGTGCCTCTATAGGGACGGGGTGCACATAGAAATAGAGGTGAAAATGAGGATAACAATGGGGAGGTTCACAGAGAAACGGAAAGGCTGGGTAGACTTGCAGTGGAGAAGGAGGCAGGATGGGGGAGAGAGATGGTACAGGCATGGGGGAAAGAAGGGCAGGAGCGTGAGAAAGAAACAGGGCTATACCAGAAACACAGAAGGATGAAGGAGGGCAAAGGCTGGGGAAAGAGGGAGATGAGCAGGGGGTCATGTGATCGCTGCTGAGCCAGCTGAAGACATAAACATCAACTCTATAGCTGTCCTAAACCTCAACAGCCAAGGAAGGGTACTGGGGTCAGATTGATTTTCCGAATGTTTTGAAATATAAGTGAGTCAGAAAAGGAAGTGTTCTCAACAAAAGTGTGGGTTTTGGCTATGTTTGACAAGAAAACCACAACGTCAGTATAAGTAAGTTTAGGATGACAAGTATAGGTATCATTGTTCTGCTTCCGTTTTCGGTTTTCAAGGTGATCACAAAAAAAAAAAATCACAAGTTCAGAGGAGGAAAAAACAACAACAAAAAGAGTCTATTACATTAAGGTTATTAAGGTTATAGTGGAGCAATTGTGGAGGTAATAATTTTCTGGGTCTTTCAAGATAAGACTGTAGTTGCAAAAATGTGCAAAGTAGGGAAAACATGGGGATGTTAGATCCATGCCCGATTACAATCTCTGCAGCACCAATTTAGAAGATGAATGCTGTAAAATAGCCTGTGTGAAGCACTTCCTGCCAGAAATTCTCCATTACTGTTTTCCCCCCGAGATGTCTTTACTATTATAACAAAATACAAAAGACAGAGACTCGCTGCGGTTATTATCACACACCTCTGTATGGCACCCCACACTGTGCTTCAAGCTCCCAGGATTCACCAGGAAATCCCAGGTTTTTGGAGCTCTCACATGCCGATGGGAAGTGGGGACAGAAAACAGAATCATCTGAGACAGGCGGAGCGTCACCTGCGCTACAGCTTCCGGACAAACACCGAGCTTTCAGATTCTGGTCACCTGATGGGGGGCCAGGGGAGGTGGGGGTGGCTCTGGAACGGGGTGCGGGGGAAACTGCTCACATGCCCAGAGCATTTGCTAGGGGACAGGCGCACTGTTGCTCACGGGGTCAGAAACGACCTCCCGAATGAGAGGGGCTTGAACTGCACAGCAAAGGGAGGGCGTCGGTATCTGATGGGAACAGCAGGGGCGAGGTCACCGAGCGGAGCTGGAGGAGACCAGGGAGAAACGCGCACATTTGTAGAGCTTACTGCAGTAGCCAGTTATCACATAAAACTTGAAACAGTGATGAAACAGTGATAAAACAGTGGTTTAAAAAAAAAAAGACTTGAAAATAGACTCTTGGGATGTAATTGCTCCACAAAGGCCCCTGCTATACTGACACCATGGCACACGTTGAGATGTCCCCTTCTTTTTAAGTATCCAGGACATCGATTAGTGTATCCCCAAAATTTTACTTCAAAGACCTTCACAAAGGTATTCCAACTTATTTTTTACAAAGTAAAAAAATTATTATAAATTATTTTTATCAATCCGATTAGAAAACACTGTTAACTTGAAAGTGGGTTGCTAGCATAAGGGAATGGATGTTCACATAAGCTCTTGGTATATATTAAAATTATAAACATGTATGCCTACTGACTAGCCACCCACTTCTAGAAACTTACCCTAAGAAAAATCACACCAGTGTATAAAGATATAGGCTCAAGGGCTTTCAATGTAGGATTTTATATAATATTAAAAAATTGGAAACCTCATAAATGGCCATGTATAGGCTACTGGGTAATTTATGATTTATAATTTGTAAATAATTTTATTATATTTATAATAAAAAAATGTCCATCCATTAAAATGACTGTGTGGCTCTGAAACCATGTTGATGTAGAAAGATGTGCCGCGTGAAACACAGGCATACAGATCAGTATCTCATGTTACGATCGTTATGTCAGGACTGTGAGGTTTCAGGTGATTTTTTACTTTCTCTACACTTATAAGAGGTTTATTGTAATATTATTTAACAATGCAAAAAGAAAACAATAACTCTATTTTCCTTTTAGGAAAAAATAACTTTCCCGCCGGATGACAGTTGTGCAGCGTGAGTGACTGCTGGCTGGCACAGCTGTGACCTAAGAAGATGACAGACATTTGCTGCCTCTCCCCAGGGCGGACTCTGGCTCCAGCACTGGGCTGGAGAGCTCCCTTCTCGTCACGGGGCTTTAGGGAAGGGATTAGAGGGGAGACAATCCCAGGTCATCCCGTGTACAGACACATTCTTTTTGTCTTCAGTCTTGGCTGGATGCTGAGCTTTTCAAGGCCTGGGAAAGCGTCTTGCTAATTTTTTTTCTGTCTCCAAAGCCTCTTATAGATACACAGTAAGCAGTTAATTTGTACAATCGGACACGTTTTGTTTGCTTCTAACTATAAAAGAGACTTCGGGGAAGTGCCTTATCAAAGACGGCTCACAGGGCTCTGCCTCGCACACGGTAGGCACAGCTCTCCGCAAAGGGTCTCTGCTCGAGTCAGACAACGGTCCCCTTGTCTGTGTTTATTTTTACACATGCAACATTTTTTTCCTGGTTTACATATTTTTTCATCAACATAATAAAGGATTATTTTATTGTAATGTAGCTATATTGAAATTTGTTTCATACTAGTATTTATGTTCAAAGTCATACACAGTACAAATACAGTCACCTGTACAGTCTAATGTCAGTGTCAATAATCTCACAATAATTAATCTTCCTAATGTCATGCCACTTTCCTATCAAAGCACTTACGAGGGGGACGAGACACTGTCATAACTCCTCAGATAAAGTTCTCTGCTCAGGGTAGATAACTCGTTGTTTCTTTCTGCTCCAAGTCAAAGCAAACACAAAAACAAAAATCCAGCACAAATTCTCCTTTTCTTATGGCACACACATTAGTACAGAAGAAATAACTGGATGAATATTTCATCAAGCTTCCTGGAAGTGACATGCAGTAACTGCTCTTGACTCCAGGAATCCTTTCATTTTTCCCCAGAGGCAATGTGAGCAAATGCTACCTAGAGGCGACCGTCAAACCGATAGGATTGACAATTAGTAATTGCAAATGCAGAAGCAGCATTACTTTATACTGCACAGTTAATGATTTATTGGCTCAAGCTAGGTAACCACAGAACTCCAGGTAGTTTCCTTTACCTTGGCCAGATGAGAGTTGATCCATTTGGTGAAAGTGCGTTTTTGTACTATCTCTTGCTCATCTAGGAGGAAAAAAGAAATCCAATTAGGTAACACAGTATGTCATGAAGTAATATTTTTTTAAAAATCATAATACACAGCTCTAGAAACAATCATAATATTATTTTATCTTCTCATTCATTTTACCAATTATTGCTTAAAAGGAGAGTCAACTTCAATATATTAGACTATTCCTTTAAGAATTATCAACAAGTGCTCTAAAATTTACAATATGTTAGCCCTATGTTTAGCTTCATTCACTTATTGCAAGTTCACTGAACAATTATAGCTCAATACACTGTTTATAAAAAGTTCACTGAGCCCTGGCCGGTTTGGCTCAGCGGTTAGAGCATCGGTCTGAGGTCCGGAGAGACCCGGGTTCGGTTCCCACTAAGGGCATGTACCTCGGTTGCAGTTTGTCCCCGGCCCTGGTTGGTTGTGCGGGTGGCGACCACTCGATGTATCCCTTTCACGTCGATGTTTCTCTCTCTCTCTGTTCCTCTCTCTCCCTCCCTTTCTACCTGAACAACAACAACAACAAAAAAGTTCACTGAGTCCACCCGGACAATGTGGCTCAGTGGATTGAGCATTGTCCCATGGACTGAGAGATCTCGGTTCTATTTCCCGGTCAGGGCACATGCCCGGGTTGAAGGCTCAATTCCCAGTCGGGGGCCTGCAAGATGCAGCTGATCAATGTTTCTCTCTCACATCGATGTTTCTCTCTCTCTCTCCCATTCTCTCTCTAATAAAATCAATTAAAAAACACATTTAAAAAATTCACTGAGGCCAAAAAAAGTGCCAAGTTTTATGCTAGATGCAAAGAGATGTAGAAAGGTGAACAGGGCAACATCTCTGCCACAAAATATCTAGAGGTGGAGACAGACCAGAATGGGTACATGCACAGCAGAAGGTTACACAACAATGTCATAAGATATCTGCACACACAAGGCATTACAGGGACTTCACCCAGATGGGGAGAGAGGTGAACACTCTCTTGGTGACTTCCAAAGATTCTCCCTTGTGGAGTCTACACCTTCATGCAGGTGGACTGCAGGCAGAACCTGTGACGTGCTTCTAATCAATGGCATATGGCAAAGGTGATGGGATTGCACTCTCATGAACATACTACTTTCTGTAAGATTCTATCTTAGCCGACTGGAGTGAGACATTCTCCTGCTGGCTTGAAGAAGTAAACGTGTGCTGTGAACTGCCCATGCTGGCTGATTTAATGAGTGAGGATGAGGATGGTCTCTGGTCAAGAGCCAATGAGACGCTACCCCCCTCTCCGCGTCTTACAGCAGCAAGGAAATAAATTCTGAGTTCGAAAATGGGTCTTTCCTAGCTCAGTCCCCAGATGAGAGTGCAGCCCAACTGACATGTCGAACGCAGATATTTGGGACGCTGGGTTAAAGGAACTGGCTGCTTGAGCCAGGCTGGATTTCAGAATTACTCTGGACCATGATGCTATCTCCCTTTCATTCTCCCTTCTTTGGACAGAAGCATCTACTGAAATGCCTATTTCCCTGCCTCATCATTGCATGTTGGGTAAATAGGGAGCAGTAACCTCTGTTTTAAATTTATAAGTGTGGAGATTGAATGAAATTACACCTGAGGAGCTTATCTGTCCCTGGACCAGATACAGACCATATGATACTAAACTTGGAGCTTGATACCATAATTGGATAAGACTTTTGATGTCTCGAGAGGGGATACCTGTGTTTTGATGTAGAAATAATACATATGATGGTGACCCCAGAATAAATGTAAAATTATGATAACAAAATTCTCTTGTCTTCCTTCACTACGTGCATCTTCCTTTGCAATGTGGCTTTGCCCTTCATCTCATCAAAAAGTAGAACTGATTTCCCCTCTCTTCGAATCTGATCTTGTTTTGTACTTGCTTTGATTAATAATGTAACAGAAACAAATTTATGTCATCTGAGTCTAGGCCCGTAGAAATCCTGCAGTTTCCATTTTTAGATGTCCTTAGATGTCCTACATCACTATCCTAAAACCACATGAAAGGAAAGCGGGAGGACAAAGGTCCATGTGAAGACAAATTGAGATGTCCTGTCTCCTAGCCGCAAGGAACTGCAGGAGGTTATCTTGGACCTTCTAGCTCAGCTAATCTGCAGCAAACTCAGCTCAGGAGAGGGCAGCAAACTGAGACCTGCCCTAGGCTTCGAGGTTGATGCACCTGTTCCTTTCTTGTTTCCCATACTCCATACATGACTTGATTATAAATTTCACGTGAAGAAAGCATTTTGCTCTCCACATCTCCCTAGAGACTCCCCCCCACCTGGTACATTGCCTTATAAATGGGTCCTGAGCAAATCAGCTATGCTTCACAGTAAACTAACCGCTCATCCCACAGATAGTGAGACTTAATAGACTGTGATTGTTTTAATCCACACATTTTTGGAGTGGTTGTTACATAGTACAGGCTATCTGAACAAAGGCATTTGCTTGTGTAACACACACATACTTTTTTTAGAGAAAAAGTGGAAGAGAGGGATGGGAGAGGGAGAGAGAGAGAGAAACATCAATGGCTCACATCCAGTGGTTGCCTCCTACACGCGAACCTGTGACCCAGGGGCACGTCCCTGACTGGGAATTATATCTGAGACCCTTCAGCGCACAGGCTGGTGCTCTAACCACTTAGCACACTAGCCAGGGCCACACCCACACTTTTGATGCCCTGACCCTCATTCCCATCCCTCTTCTCTCTGTCTTCTACAATGAAAGGGTTCTAGGCTTGCTGGCGTGCGTCCCTCTCCTCCTGGACCTTTGATGTTCTGAGCAGATGAGTAATGGAGAAAAAAAAAAAAGTGGCAAGAAACAAGAGCATCCAAAGTTATTCCGCATACATCCCATCGCAGATGATGGGAGATGGCAGAGCAGAGGAGGGAAGCGATCACGCGCTACCGGAGGAGTGGCTTGGGGGGTAAAATGAGTGAACAGAACTTCTGGGGAGTGTTGCCTATGCTGAGTGCTCTAATCACTCTTTGATGTTTTTCCCAAGCAAATGTCAGTAAAGACATGCTGCTCTTAAGATTTTTTGAATTGGAGGTGAATTTCTCTTGTCTGTAAAACCAATGACTAGATTCCAACAGCCCTGTTTCATTGCAGTTACATTTGCAAAATGTAGTACCATCTCCCTTAAAAGTTAAGACCTAAGGAATGAGAAGAATATAATTATCTCGATTCCTAAGTTAGCGTTCCTCAGCCTCACAACGATTGACATTTGGGACAGGATAATTCTTTGTTGTGAGAGGCTGTCCTGTGTATTATAAGATGTTCAGCAGCATCCTTGGCCTCTACCCATTCAACTCCAGTAGCAGCCCTCTTCCCCATTGCCTTACGTTGTGACATCAAAAATATCTCGACATTGTCAAATTTCTGCTGGGGGAAATTACCCCAGTTTAGAATCACTGGTTTAAACTGTGCACTTGGCATCTAATTTTGAAAATTTACTGGCATGAACATTTGAAAATGTATGTATGTTACAATTGAATCATTATTGTCCAATGAACTATTTCAAAAAGTTATCATCATATTATTATCATATTGGGTTATTCCCATAGTTTATATATTTATTTAGGCAAAAATCTTTACCCGGAGATACATTTAGTGAAGAAGTGCTGAAAGGTTATATAGAAATTACACGATTTTTCCAGTCTGAATGAAATAGCCTGTGATGTCTGAGATGCTCTGTCATTCGATCTGGAAAGTTCGGGCTGATGCGGTGGGGAGTGGGTGGGAGGGGAGAGGGTGTGGATATCCTCGTATTGTGCTTGGTTTGGTTTACTATTTTAAGCTTTTAAAAAATATTTCCAGAACTTTAAAAAATAAAACAAGAAGTACTTGATCAGCTTCAGTGGGTTGTTGCTAGTTAAAAATAGTCTGAGCCATTTCTTATAACGTGAATTTTATTGCTGTCAGGCCAGGAAGAGCATACAGCACATGCCAGTCAGTCAAAAAAAAAAAAATTTAAATCTTTAAAGAATTTTAATGTATTTGGTTGGAAGGCCCTTAAGTATGGCTGGTTTTTTAAAGGCACATCCATCAGACATGTGCCAGGCAGTGACCCTGGCAGCAGGTTACTCCCTGTAGGTACAACGGTAGGGGGAAGGGAAGGTTTCCTTTAAATGAGGACTTTTAATTTGGTGTGGATGGCGGTGTGGGAAAGAGAAGGTAACAGAGGCACCAACCTTGGATCTTTCAATAGCTCTCAATTTCATAAAATTTTAATAAAATCATTTGATGGGAAAAAAAGAGAATTGAGAAGTTGTTTATAATCTTTCTTTATCCCACTTACTATTAAAATCCATACTTTTCTCTGCAGAAATATTAATGTCTGGGATCGCAAACTGCTGGTTGAGTATGATACATATTATATGGTAAGCCCCCCATATATTCCTAAAATTCAAAAGATTCTGAATTTGAAAACAAAGCTGGGCCCTTGCACTTTTGCATAAGGAATTGTGCATAGAGTAGAACAGCACACGGCAGAGGTCTGCCCTGCAGAAGAGGAATAACCGAAATGAAGAGAGAGGAAACAGCAGTTGAACGAGAGTGGAAAGAGAGAGTTCCTCGTGGCGACCCCCACCAGCGGCTTCTTCCAGAGCTCCACTTCTCAACAAAGATAACCAATCTGAATAGTTTTGACAGAACTTTGTTTTTGTTTTCTTATCACTTTTTCCTTCCTCTGTTTGTGGATATACAACATTGCAAGAGAAAACGATCACGTAGTGAATCAATGAAAAGACCTTATGTCTTCATAACATTTGACTTCATGTTTCCCTGTATATTCTCATTGGGTTCAGGTTACCAAGGGCCTGGACCTGGACGAGTAGACAGAGGAGGTATCAGTAGCCCAATTGTTAACAAGGAAATGAAGCTGGGAGTTAAGACATAGGCCAGAAATTGAGAAACTGGAATAAAGGCCAGAGACTTGCAGAACCGTGGCCTGAATTTAAGAAGCTGACTCCTACTCTGATCTAATTTCCACCCGATTCAGTTG